GAAATCTCGGTACTTGCTGTGCTTTTGTTGGTTGGTAAATGGAGGGTTGGTGGTTGTTTTGCAGGTCAAGTGTATTTATGAGAGAGAGAGAGAGAAAGAAGAAGAAGAAGAAGAAGAAGAAGAGCATGCAATGTATTACTGCAAGATGGCTGGTACACCCAATCACAAACGTACTTTCTTACCATTAATTTTCTTTGACTCTTTTCTACTTTCCTTTTATATTTACTAGGTTTTGGTATTTTATTTTAAACTTTTTAAATTTAAAAAGAAATTGTAGCCGTACCAAGTATTTCATTTGTTAACATCTTACTAGCTTGTTCTAATAAACTTATTATGTTATTGTCTGTATATATTAATAAATTAAATAATAAATTTATTAAATCAAATATTATAAATAATAAAAATCAATACATAATCTATATTCAATGTATTTAATTATCTATGGGTAATATTAAATATATATATATATATTCAAAGATAGTAGAGGTATATATATGGACATTTATTTATGCCTTTGCCTCTCATTAGTTACATGTACCCAATCACCTTCTTGTTTGGTCAAAAGAGTTCTTTTCTTTGGATTTTTATGGGTTACACTGTAGCTAACACATCAGACGGGTCGGGTCGGTCCAATTATATCGGATCTTCCATTTTCACTGGGCCAGTCGATCACTGTTACTTCACATATACATATACATATACATATACATATATATATATGGATCATTATCACAAATGAGGTTTGAGTAATTTGATGCATGAAAGTTTATTAAATTATAATAAGAGTTAAATTGTAAAGATAATTTAATAATTTATTCATTATTTTCACTTAAACATCTTCAATTTTAATTTTTATCTTATTTGATAACAAATGAACCACTTTAAATATTAAAATATTTTTAAATTTATCTTAATTCAAATTATTAAAATATTTAAATTAGTTCTGTATGCTTTTTTATATTTAAAAAATCAGTTTCATAAAAATTTACTAAAAAAACTCACATTTATTTAAATAAAATATAATAATTTATTCGAAACTGATCATCCAATATAAAAAAAATACGCATAATTAATAAATTAAAACTCATTGATTTTAACAAAATTATATATAAAAAATTATAATATATATATATATATATAAAGCAATAAAATAACAAGATAAATAAGATAGAAGCCGAGCCACGTCATTATCACACGTGGATGGTAATATCGTGACGGTGAAGTTGCTTTCAAAAATTTCATGGTAGAAAAATAATATAAAATTGAGTTCCTCGTGAAAAGTCCTTTTCATTTCTTCGCGTTCTAATTATTTAGAGAAATTATTTATCAATAATTATATATTTAATTATAT